TTTAGGGTTTAGGGCCTAAATAATGAGAATAAGGTTTATATGCCTGAATACTGAGAATAAGGTTTAGGGTTTCGGGCTCATGGAAATTGTAAAGGGTTCAGGCCCTAAGTTGAGGGAATTTTGGCCGGGTTTTGCGCGGGTTTCCTTCTTATCTCTGGCCGTATACAATTCGTATATGTCTGGGCTTGAGGAGTTAGGGTTCAGGGTTTAGGCTTGAAGCTGTGGGGTTTTCAGGTAGGGGTTTGGGGTTCAGCGCTTCATTTGGGAGTAGGGTTTAGGTTTCAGGGTTCAAGGTTTAGGGGTTTAGGGCTTGGGCGCTTAAACCACCATATTCTTAACAGGGGAAGTCCATGGAGGGGTCATATAAAAAAAATACACACATACATATATGCCCGCTGGCATTTTAGGGTTTGTACATTTTCTGTGGCTTCTGCGTGTCCACGAGGATTCGGATTGGGCGCACTGCGCACCACCATTCCGAAACAAAGCGTGCGAAGCCACCAGAATGGAACACGTCACCACGTTCTTCTAGAGCAATTTGAGCGTCACAGGTTGGCAAAGCCGTTCAACAAAATTTGAGTGCAATATTGCGGTTGTCATGCCTTGTGACTGTCTATCTCTTCGTTGCTGCAGTTCGCGGACGAAACATTCCAGAGCGAGTCTGATAATTTCGGAGCTGAGGTGTATGCAGCTTGGTTGTGCTTGTACATCTGGGACTATAGTCTCCTTAAGTAGATGGAACATGAGGTATTTGGGGATCTTGTCATAATATACCCAAAGCCATATTCGATCTACTTAAGGGGGACTATACCCATGGCAACCACACGGGACTTCCTTACAGCGTGGACTCAGCCACTGCCAGCCCGGTCCACCCAACAGTCCTCGCATCTCGCCAAAACCCTTCAAGAAATCTCTGGAGCGAGGTTCCCCACTATCCCCGTAAGGTAAGGCTACCCTTTTTCCTAATGTCCAGCTTTACTAACCTGAACTCTAAACCCTGTACCCTGTGCCCAAGGCTTTGGATCGTCTTCACGGTTGCTATTTCCTCCATCCACTGTATAAACCCACAAGAGCGATGCTTGTGACATTCTTTTGATTTGCGGGCAACAAGCACAGTTGTGGCCTTTTGACGCCCAAAGCATTACATGGTCGCAAAGAAAAGCCCAACAATTTTGGATCCCTTGGCAACCCTGATGCTATATAAGCCATAGTCTAAACTCCAAGTGTCCCCCTTTATAAGCCCTATAATACTCCCCTATATAACCCCTTCAAGGAGTTTAGACTATAGCTCCTAATATTAACAATAGTTCAAGTGGCGCCAGCCAACTTCGTATGGCTGCAGCGTCGCCGCGGCGCGCGGCATCGAAGAGGACCTGCTGCCACGGAACATCCAATGCTGAGGTTTAGGGTTTAGGCATTCAGCATAAGGGGCTGTAGATTGTCTGGGTTGCTGTTAAGGAACTTAATTTAAGTTACCATATTGGGGGGAAACCCTATTATTTACTATATATACCCATTATGGTAACTTGATTTAAGTTCCTTAACAGCAACCCAGTTGTTTTAATTTGACTATAACGATTACGATTTCTATGATTATTCTTATTAGGACTTTTGCTACAGTCATATTACTTCACGGTCAAGGATTTCGAGCAGCTTTTTGAGTTCTCCCCAGAGGAGACGAGGAGGATGGATTTTTGATTGCTTGTGCAAACCACAACAGCCCTCCATATGAGCTATAGTCTAAACTCCTTAAAGGGGGATTATATAGGGGATTATATAGGGCTTATTAAGGGGGATACTAGGAGCTTAGACTATAGCTCATATGCAATTAGTTCCCAGTTCCCATGAGAACTCAAGTTGTTACGGTTGACGAGGTTTTTGCACGGCGTCCCGAGCCATGAGCTCTACACCCTGTTCCCAAGCCCAAGCTTCTAAACTCTAAACTGGGTTTAGAGTCACGTTTCATGAGCTACCACAGGTCCCGCTTCAACTTACCGCTGGTTCGTAAGGATTTTAGGGTTTCGGGTTTCGGGAATAAGCTGGCATGAAATCACTGCTACCGGAGGGATCTCTTCCTATGTTCCCTACTATAAGGTTTGACATTTAGGGTTTAAGGTTTAAGGATACTAAGCCACCTGCAAGCGAAGATCTCGCAGGGCGTTTCAACGCACTGCTGACCATTTTCCGAATGCGCTCCGGACTGCGTTCTTGGGAGTTTCAGTGCCCGTCAGCAAACCCTGGATATTTCGGGGGTTCGTGGTATCATATTGGGAGTCCCCATAACAAGGACGATGGCATTTTTGGGTCTACATTGGGGTGACCATACATTTGAAAAAACAAGATAAATTTGAGGGATAATGCGGAGAATATGAGGGTCCACTTTGGAGCAACTCCCATTCTTCTATGAGCAATACCGCCAAATTATGCTGGCAAACAAGAGTGCGACAAGTGCCCATATGAGCACTGGCCAAAAGCTTTCAAAGAGGAAATACGTACCCACAGCGGATGTGGCGCCTACCTTGCAGTTTGAGGCTTAAGGCTTATGGTTTAAGGCTTGTGGCTTCGGGCTTAGGAGTTTGGGCTTAGGATCACTATGATAACTCATCATCCTGACTTAAATCCTGTCTTAAGGCCCTCTTGGGTACAGTCTCCTTCTGAGGGTTTCTCAGCTGCCCACACCTTCTTGGCCAAGCATGCTATCCGGTTGTTCTACGACTTTCACGATGGTTTTCTATAAAGTTTTAATACTTTTTGACATGGAAGTTTGGTGAGTTTGTGGATTGATGATGGTTTATGCAGGCGTTGCAGGGTTCTGGTGATGGTCTTCAGGTCTAGGGCTTCGGGTGGCTTATGTTTGGGGTACCAACCCTTCGTCATCGCAGCGCAGCAAGCATGGAGAGACCAGTGAGAGCCCTCTGATGTTAAGTGTTTGTAGCGTGCTAGGATGGCCCTCTATTATCCCTTTATCATCCCTTTATGATCCCCCGGGTTCCGAAGCCCTGTTTCCAGAAACTCATATGTTCCTGCTTTTCTAGCTTCTAGATCAATTCCTCTCAGGCACTATGTAGAGAGCCAACATCGCCAGGGAGATCACGGTGGTTTGCGTGTAGAGACTTCCGTTGAAGGATCGCTTTGGTAGTTGTTCCTAGGCACAGTTGCGCGTGAACGACAAGGGTGAGTCTCTGCTTGTGGGCCCCTAGAATACAAACTGTATTCCTGGGTGGTATACGGAGCAACTCCACTGTCGCAGGACATCCGCGTATTTGGCTTGATCGGATCTCTGCATCATCACCGCAAAGTACCGGCCCAAATAACACAAGCGAAAAAGCAAAGTCTTGGAGTACGTTTGACTTCAGCCATATGGGGGTTTCCCAAAATTAGGGGTACCTTTTTGGGGGCCCCTATAATAAGGACTATAGTATTTTGGGGTTTATATTGGGGTCCCCCTATTTTGGGAAACTACCATATACTTGAAACCGGATAGAACAAGCGACAATTCATTCCCTTAGCAGGTCTTGGGTAGGCTATGCTTAGAACTTTATGGAACGCAGTTTGAGATTTATGGTTTAGGGGTTCACGACGCTGCTATGTTTTGTGGTGGGGGGCTATAACCCCTTGAGCCTTACAAGCAAAAGTATGATTCAGATGATAACCCCAGGTATGACTAATCAATGCAGATTTGGCTCCAGCATGTCAAGGTGCATACCGAAATCATGTCAAGCCATGGAAAAATTCGGCTTTCCACAAAGAATCGCTCAAACACGGCTGCGCTGTACAGAGGCCAAAACAATAAGCCCAAACTCCTCTCAGGAATGGAAGCTTCCAAACATCCAGTGCACTATCATAGTTACTTTGACGTTAGACGTCGGGCATACCTGAACTCTGTTCAACTTTCCCACCTGCCTCAGAATGCATTTTCAGCGCAGAACCACTTGGAAAGGGTCGGTCTTGAAACAGGTACTAGGCCTTGCTCTTTGGTTAGCTGGGAATGAAGGAATGGAAAGGAAAATGGAAACTACCATAGTGGGGTTTAGGCTTTGGAAGGAATAAAAAACATGGAAACTACTATACTGGGTTATACAGGGGCTACTATAAGGATCGATTTCTTCATTCCTAGCTAACCAAAGGCAAGTGCTAAGCTACACCAAACTCCCTCCAGCACAATCTCCCATTGGAACTTCCAACATCAACACGTTCAGGGATCCCTGTCTCCCCTTTGTCTGGAATGCCCATGAAGCCTAAACCCCACATTCTAAAACCTAAACTCAATCTGAAACCCCAAACCAACGAAACCCGTGAAACCTCCCCATGTTTCGGCCCAAGTTTCGCATGCAAAAACCATGAGGCTTATGGCTGCCGGGCACCAAAGCCTAATCCAGGCTAGGGGGCGTTGAGGTCTAGATGTTGAGTATCATTAGTGTAGTAATACTAAAAATAGTACTCAAAACAGTACCAATCATAGTAATAATGATAGTACTAACAGTATGAATAATGCTGTTTTGGGATTGTATGGATGTTAAAACGTTTCAAAACGTTGTTTGGAAGCACAACTCCCAAAGGGTGGGAGTAGTTCATATAAGGAATCATAGCCTAAACCCTAAACCCTAAACCCTAAGGAAGTGTCAGGCGGGTAGTTTCTCCCATATAAGCCTTAGATAGCCCTTACGTAGTCCTAGTGTCCCCATCTAAGCCTTATATAAGCATTATGTAAGGGTACCCACCTGGTAACTAGCCACCTGAAAACTCCCGTATCCTATGTTTGTGTCGGAAGTTCCTGCGTGGAGGGCTAGAGCTCTTGAAGGAGTAGCGGCTCGGGGTTCGAATTTCGTAAATGGTTCTAGGGCCTACATCAGGGACGAGGGTTTAGGGTTTAGGGTGAACCACTAATCCTGGAAACAAGGGAAGCGAATTCCATGTTCAACCCTAAACCCTGAACCCTAAACCTTAATCTAGTCCAGGAGCAAGTTGAGGGCCACCGGGACGCTCAACGTGTAGGCCAGAAGGCTCCTCGTTGAGGTATGGGCTTAAGGAGTTGAGGGTCTACTTGGGGTTTAGGGTTTACGGGGCCTAAACCCTAAACCCTAAACTTTAGGGGCTTAGGGCTAAACCCTAAACCCTAAACCGTGTGCCCCTTCCTGCAACATGAACCACGAGCTGCCTACAAAGCTACTGTACTGGTCTCAGGCCTTAAGGTTTGGGGGTAATGTTAGGGTCATATTGGGGTTATATTGGGATAACAATAATTGAAGCTACTATAGTATGTTAGGAGTCCCTTTAAAGGGGTTTGTTATATAGTCATACTAATAGTAACAGTAATAGTAATAGAACTGGTAGTAGTAGTCGTAATAGTAATAGTAATAGTAATAGTAATAGTAATACAAACTAATACTAACAGTAGTAATAAATGTAGAAAATGAATAATAGCAAAGCATCTGCTATGTTTATGTTTGAGTACTCTGTAATCACCCTGGACCTACTGAAAAATGTGCATGTCAATACTTCCTTGGGGTTATACTATCATAGAAGCGGGAAGTCAATTCCTAAGGAGTAAGGGGACTATGGTACTGCAGTTGGTATCAAAACTTCTGCATGGCCATAGTAGACCAGAATGCCATAGCTCCCAAGGCATAATTTGCGGCATAAGCTACTTAGGGCCAGGCAGTACTCTGAATATTGATCAGCCCGAGAATGTTTCTGTGAGATAGAGCGGAACCCAACCTTAGACCTTAACTGCCGCTTACCCCCAACACCAACATGTTGGGGTACCATTGTATATTGGGGTTATGTAGGGATAATGGAAAAGCACATGGAAACTAAAAAAAAATATATATGTATATAGATATATCCAATCCCGTATACTGGGCTTCCAAGCAAATCCTGTGGTGAAATTGCAGGGGGCCTCTTTGCCGACTACGGAGCCCAGCGTTTTGGCAATCGTCCTAGACCCCCCCGAGCCCCACGACTTGCAACAGTTCAGAACATCCTGCCGCACATCCCGGTAGGAACATCCCTTTAGACTTCCAAAAATCTCATTCCCCCAACAAGCTGGGAAACCCCAGAAATTATAGTGGTTATATTGGGATAATGAAATTAAAATGGAAACTAGAATTTAGGGTTTAGCTTCTGCTCAGGAACCCAGCTTTCGGGTCTCAGGTATGATGTGAGCTATAATTCAAACTCCTAGTATCCCCCTTTATAACCCCTATAACGCTCCCCCATATAGTTGCCCTTTAGGAGTTTAGACTATAGCTCATGTAAAGTTCAAATTAATCCGACAAGCTTGCTCCACGATCTAGGTGGCTCCTAAACTAAAAACGAAGTGAATGGACATGGACTCCTTGCAGTAGGATTCTCAAAAATCCACCCCCAAAACCCCAAACCCCTAAACCTTACTGGGTCTTCGTAGGGAATGACGGACTATAGTATAGTACATAGGCATAAGGATTCTATAGGGGTTCTATTCCCCACTAATCACCAGTAAGTTCAGCCTTTGAATCTCGAAAATCTGCCATGATGATCTCATAGGACCCTAAACCCAAAATCCCCTAAGCCCTAAACCCTAAGCCCTAAATCCCCTAAATCCCCTAAATCCCCTAAATCCCCTAAATCCCCTAAATCCCCTAAACCCCCTAAACCCCCTAAAACCTAAACCGACTCCCGTCCTGAGCGGGATGCCAGCCTTCAAAAGCCCCAGCATGTAGTCCAAGGACACCGATAACCTGGGTTTGGGATTTAGGGTTTAGGGTTTAGGGGATTTAAACTAGGAACTCAAAACAAATTACCATAATGGGCATATGTAGTAGTTTACATGGTGGCCAATATATCATATAACTTAAATCCAGTTCCTTAACAGCAGCCCAGTAACATGGGCGTGCTGAGCACGCAGTGATACTTGAATGGAACAAGCAGCGGGACGCGTACCTTTTCGCCGAACAGGCAGTGCTACAGTGGGAAAATTCAGAGTATGGGGACTGAGGTTTGGAGTGTAAAATCTATTTGGCGTTTAACGTTTGGGAATTTGGCGCCTGGGGCTTCGGGTTTGAACTTGGGCCTAGGGTTTGGGAACACGGGCCTCCTGTCGGAACGGACCCCGCACGTACTCCGAAAATGCGTCCAGACTTCCATACCAACTTCTTATCGCAGCATATATGTATTGTCTGTCGAAGTCGTTGCGGCACTGTACATCCATCACCTCAACTGCCGCTGGACTCTGTCCAAATGCACAGTTGTTGGAAGTTTCCTTGGGCGTACCCTATAAACCCCCTAAACCCTAAACCCCAAACCCCCTACACCCTAAAGCCCCTTTACAAGCACCTGCAAGATGAGGATACCTCAACACAAAGTACCTCCAGGCCTGTAATTGGGATTATGGTACGGTAGGTCCCCCTATCTAAGGAAACTACCATGTGGGAGTTTCTCAAAAGGGGGAGGCCCTAGGGACCCCAAGGGGTATAGAGGGAATATGAGGGGATTATATAGGGCCCCCTTAAGGGATTATATAGGGGTTATATTGAGAAATACCCATGTAGTTACTAGAAAGGGATACTGGGTTGCCTCCTCGGACTATGGAATGTAATTAGGGTCAGCTTTAACCAGAATAGTGCTTCGAGGTATGTATTATACGTTGGTACACACGGATCGCCACGGAGATGATGTTGGTAGTTGTTCAAGCTTTTATGCTGCAATAATATCCCTCAGAAAACCCCAATTCATTTTCAGCGAAGTCTCGTCGAAGTTGTCCAAATCAGCCATGATTTGTTGCCAATCCAAACTGCGCTGCCGAAAAGAATGCGACAAGGGGAGCAGCACCGTTGCCACGAAGGCAAACATAAGAAGAACTGTGATGCCACCTTGATCATATGAGGCCCTGAAGACCACGAGCAGGAGACCACAAGCGTGCAGCCAAATGTATATATTAGCTGCAAAAGCTTCGACATGGATGGGAGTCAATATAATCCTTCCGCTTGGGTTCAGTTTCCGATATGCTGAGAGCTCGAAGACACACCATAGCCTCGAGAAATAGTGCCGGCTGAGCAGCACGTGCAGGTTTGTAGACACCGATAAGCAACCGCCGATGTTGTAGATCCCCTTTTGCATGAGCAAGTCATCTGTTTGGCAAATGCAAGCCGCATCCAGAAAGCACGAAGGGCTGCCAAATGGGTTATACATCGACAGCAGCAACCTCAGTCAGGTTTGCACCCCTCTCCACACGACAATAATGGGATTCTATGAGGTTTAGGGTTTAGGGTTCAGAAGGAATGGAAAAGAACATGAAAAACACTATAGTGGGATTTATAGGATTTAGAGTTTAGCGGTTCAGGTGTAGAGTTCTGGGCCCCTACTTGCCGTAATACCGGGGGCTGTCTACCTACCAATGCCAGTTTAAAATCTATTTGAGGTACCATGCATACTTTCACTAGACAAGGGACCTATAGCCATTCCTAGACCCTAAACCCTGATATAATTCTAGTCCCCCTTAAGTAGATAGAATATGGGGTATATGGGGATCATATTACAATTTACCCAAAGCCATATTCTATCTACTTAAGGGGGACTATAACCCTCTTATCTCCTGTTTGAACGCAGTGTCCATGCCGTTTTCCGTTGTCTTCTCCGCTGGGTTTCCATGGTTGGCATGGTATCGGTACTTATAAGTGGCGGTTTCCACAAATATGGGGACCCCTACTTTTGGGAGACACCCAAGTCTTACCCAGCATCCCGAGTTAGATGCTGTGTTCCAGGGTTTAGGGTTTAGGGTTTAGAGTTTAGGGTTTAGGGTTTAGGGTTGTGTGAAGACGGGGAGCACGACACAGACCTCCCAACAGTCGATGGTGCCGATTATCATCTAAGGTTGATCCCCTAGTATGGGCCCGAAATTAATCTTGGGATCCTTATATACCTACTATACACACATCCTCTGGTCCCCCGAAAAAGCCTACGGACCCATTTAAGGGGCCATTACCTCTGACCGAAAATAACAGAAGCCGTTTGGACATTAGCAAATCCAAGGTCCCAGCATTTTAAGCCGCAAGCCAAAGCCGTTCAGAGTTTGTTTAAGGTTGAGGGTTTAGGGTTTAAGGCGGGCCGCCTAAAACGGTAAGAGCTGAAGCCTGAACCCCAAAGTCCTAGATCCCAGAACCCTGGACCCCAAGCCCAACTGTAAAAAAAAAAACCTAAACCCTAAACCCTAAGCCCAACCAACGTTGGCCCAGCAGCCCTCCCACTGCTGAGATCGCGCCACCCAGCCTTCAAGTTCGTTTAGATTTAGGGTTTAGGGTTTAGGGCTTGGGTGTAGGGACTAGGGATTACGGTCTGAGTGGTTAAAGTTTAGGTTAACATGTTGGGTTCAGGTATACATACACTTGTAACATGCTATTTCCTAAGCCCTAAACCCTAAGCCCTAAACCCTAAACCCTAAACCCGAAACTCGAAAGAGCTGCCCAGCGGCGTGACCCAACAGCCCATGGGAAGCACACTCTGAAACCCGAGGATTCGAGCCTCCGACTTGTAAAACCTGGGGTGTGTCTTCCCTTGGTTTGGGTTTTAGGGTTTTAGGGTTTAGGGTTGTAGAGTTTAGGGTTTTAGGGTTTAGGGCTTTAGGGATTCAGGGTTTTAGGGTGTTGAGGGTTTTGAGGGCTTTAGAGTTAGGATTTGGGGCTTAGGGTTTGTTGAGTTAACAGACTAGGGGAACCATATTGTTATGGTAACTGAATTTATTGAAGACTTCCTGGCCTGAGAAGCCAAGTTCGTACGCTTAGAGCTTATACAGGGTTTAGGATTTAAAGTTTAGGGTTTAGGGTTTGGGTTTAGAGGGGATAATGGAAAATAAAATGGAAACTACTATAGCATATCAGAGGTCCCTTTAAATTGGTTATATGGTGGTTATATAGAAGTTATATCTAGGGATGGAAAATACAACGGAAGCTACTGTTTACGGCTTAGGGTTTAGGGTCCCCAAATATGC